CCTCTAATAGCAGGCACACAAGTGATCCTGTTGCGGGGGGCACCCTTAGAGGCAAAAGCCTATGCCAACACTTTCATGGTTCTTTGAAAGTGAACTTTTTATGCACAGCCAGAATGTGTGAATCGAAAGAAGTGACAGAGCAGTTCCAGGAGGGCACCCATAAGATCTACAGAAAGCCAAATTCAAGCGATGAAGGGAAGGCTGAAGAGGAAATGTTCTCCATAGTTCAAAATGCTCCTGCACTGACTGGTCTGTCTGTCCGGCATGTACTAGATGCTGCTACCAGCAATACTCCCTAACTCTCAAGTAGTTTAATTCGGCTGCAGATCTCCATGCGGTTTACAAAGGAGACTGGCATTACGACCCCCACTTTACCTGCAAGGAAACTGAGGCACAGAGGGGAAGGTGACTAGCTGAAGGTTCGCAGGAGGCTAGTGGAAAAGGGTTTCCCAAATCTGGGAAATCCAGACTTCTCAAGTTTAAGGTCAGTGCCCTCAAGGAAGGATCTCTGCTTTTTGTGAAATAATTTTATCGAACAATTGCATCAGCAATGCAATGGATGGAACCAGATTCGGTGTCTGGCTTGGGAAAACCCCAGTCTCTGTCCATTTTCACGACTCTCTAGCTTACTACTAAAATCCTGGAAGGATCCACAAGATGGCACTGTCACCACAACAACAACCTAGGGACCAGGTGTTACAACCACAACACCATCCATGCTTCCCCGCGGGTCAGAGTCCTAAAGGAGACGTCTGTGATCAGGAACATGGGCAGTTTCTTGGTGCAGCTTGTTCGTTCACAGGGTATATGGAAGTCCTGGTACAGAGACCATCGCAAGTGGTACTCGGGCTCAACCTTCGGGGATCTGAGCCCAATGCTTTTGCCCCCAGAATCAAGTCTGGTTTGCAACAGATCACCTGAATAGAAGATGCAGCACAAAACTAATGGTAGAGCATGCCTTCATGGACTATACGCTGCTCGTAGGCTGTGAGCAGGAACTAGCAAGAGTGTATGGAAAAGTACTAACTAGTGGCTTTCCATTTTGGAGCACTCTGCAACAGTCTCCCTCTGTTCAGGAAGAAGCACTAATACATCTCGCTGAACTTGCCCAAGAGATGGAGGTCTGAAGACTGTAAATGTATTGTTTGGCACTTAGCAAGGATGCTGGGATGAGAATATGCCTTCTGCTCTATGAAACCTTTAATGGCCAAGTGGTCCAGACCTCAGCTTTACTTCTCAACTGAAAAAAGGAATAAAATGCTTTTCTTCAGCCTCCTGCTGGAGACAAATTGAGCTCCCTGAAGACATGAGTCTCTCTCTGAGAAGGCCTTATGCACCAGGGTCCCATCTTTCTGCATTGACACATTAAGGGTCTGATGGCCTTCTTGGACAGTGTACAGATTTGCACTGGTATCATTGGCTAAAAGTTTCTTTTCTCTCCACATGGGAGTCGTTTATCTGGTTGGGCACTTTACTCTCCACCCCAGAGGTGGCTGCACTGTAGTGATGCTAGAAGGATATGCTTTGCTCAGTACATTAAGGTCTCTGGGGATGAAAGGCACTATATAAATGTAAAATCTGAGCATTGGGTCACATCCCCACAGCCTTCATTGCTACTTAATTCTGGCCAGACTCACATTAAGGAAGGCAGGATTTGGTCTATTATGATAGATTTATTATGCAGAGAAGCAGTAGAGTTTCCTTTTTTTATAACAATTTCCCTGGTCTAAGAAGTCAAGGGCCAAATCTCCAATTTAGATCATCTGGCTTACCTACATCTGGTAGAGTGGTGCTGATTTATACCCACTGTGGATCTGACCCCTAAAGTCCAGTGCCCAAGCTACTGTAGGGGAAGGGTGTTAGGTTTAGTACTTTAACTGTGGATCAAGCATAAAAGTAACGGAGCATATTTCTGTCACATCAAAGGGCCAAATTACACCCATCCCTCCTTGGATATGCAAAAAGAGACTGCAGAAGCCCATTCACCCCATGCAAGAAGCAGTTAATGATGGGGTGGAGAGAATGGCCAGGGCAGCAGAACTAGTAGCATCTGTCTGCAGCTCTAAGCACTCGTGGAGATGTGTACCTGGGGCTGAAGTCACCGCTGTGGACGCCACTGAATGGACTCCAGGGAGCTGCAGTGGCTGCAGCAGGAGGGAGCCTAATTGCTTTCCTTCTCAGCTGCATGACAAACCCCTGGCTGGATTGGCAGCAGGGACTAAAGCAAGGAACCCTGAAGCTGAAGCCACCACCTGAGTTGGTCCTTCACCCTACCCCTACCTCCCCATCCCTCCTCCAGTCCAAGAGAGAAGAGCCATGAGAGCCTTTCTCTGGACTTCTACTGTGACAGTGGGCCTGATCCCAACCCCACTGAGCTTGGGCAAAGGCTCCCGTTGGCTCTCTCCCCTGAGTTTTGGATGGGGCAGGAGTGACCTCCTTGCGCTGGTCTGCTCAGTCCACAATGTCGGCACTGCATGTGGCTTGAGCACCCAAGGTCCTGTGGAATGGGCCAGCCTAGGCGCACCAGGCAGCTGACACTGAACTCCAGTACACAGGGCTTTGGCCTTGGAAATGATTTTTGTCCTCTCTTCTCTTTCCCAAAATGTCTGAAGTCTTCTACCTGGGCAGTCACTACAAACCACCCAATGGGAGCTTGCTTGAGGGCTCATCCAAGGCATGTGACATCAAGCAGCACAGCTGTTTCCAGGAAGGAGCAGTTTCAGAGGTGAGAGCTCACTACTAGATGGACCCTGCTTTATGGGACCATCGGTTATCCTGTCCTTGGGTTCTAGCAGATGCTTAGCCCAGGCACCATCGGAAAGCTCCTTGAACTTTCTGTGCACATTATGGATCCTTGACAGATGCTCTGGAAGGGGGGCTGGTCCATAAAACCCCATAAATACTGTGCTCAGGAAGGGAAGGAGGTGTGCAGGAGTGAACAGACTCGGACAGTCTCATTCCACGCTAGCTCTCCAGGGCAGGCTAGTGCATCAGGGAGAACAGATGGAGAGGATATGTCCTCTGAGATAGCTGACTATATTATCCCAGACCCTTATGGAGTGATGTGGATCCCACTTGAGGATCTAGCCCAGATGGTAACTAGCTCTTAATCTGCCTGCAAGACAGAGCTGTGGGTAGAGCCGAGGACTAAGTACAATAGCGTAGGCTCTATTCATGGCTCTGCAAGCAACTGGCTCCCTATCCCCAGCCAGGTCATTCCAGATCTCTCGGCTGCATTTACCAGCAGTGAAACAGAGAGACTTCTGTTGCTACATCTCTCTGGACCAAGGCTTGAAGCGCTGCTAGTAAAGATTTCATAGATGTTAGGGCTGGAAGGGACCTTGAAGATCATCAAGTCCAGCCCCCTGCCCCAGGGGCAGGAAGTCAGCTAGGGTCAAAGGGTCCCAGCAAGATAAGCATCCAAATGTTTCTTGAATGAGTGCTTAGAGAGCCTCAAATGGCATTAGGGTGCAGCTCATGGATGATGCCTAGTTAGCCAGACGCTTATGGGGATAGGCAGATGGGGCTGGAGAGAGGAGGGTGCGGTGGGGATGGGTAGGTTGACAGGGAACGGATGGATTGACAAATACATATAAACATCGAGGCACAAAGCAAGCTGTGCTGCAATGCAGCACTGGAAGGGTTAATCAGTTCAGCAAGGAGAAAAGAGAGGGGCTGAGCTACCACTCGCTGGAAAGCCAGGAGCCGAATGTAAAAGCAACAAACGGCAAAAGGCGCTTCCCAAGCAGCCCCAACATATGGATGTGCCTCTGCCCTCCCCCTGGAGCAGCCCTCTGCTTCTCTGAGCTGTCCCCCTTCCCCGGAGCGCACAGACACACACACACACACACACACACTTGCCTTCTGAGAACCCCTCCCTTGCTGGATCCCTGCCTGGGAAGGTGGAGAGAGAGAAAGAGAGAAGCAAAGAAGCAACAGATCTCTGTGCCCCCAGCCTGCGAAGCCAGGAGCCAGCACCTGCCGGGTGATGCAAGAAGATACTTGGGGTGTGAGAGAGCTGCACCAGCCCCTGAGCTGCCACCTAGCTCTGTTTGTACCCCCACTCCGTGCTGCCGATGCAAAAAGTGATCGTGAGCTGCCAGCGACTGATACACAGCCAGCCTGTAGATCCCACCCATTCATGCTACTGAGATCGGCTTGGTGCTGAAACCCAACCCTGGGTCAGACAGGAGAGGCAGAGAGAGGGGGCAAGTCTGCTGACAAGTGTGCATACATCTCCTCGACCTAAAACTGACACTGCGCAGAGACCCTACAGTTTCCCAAGGGCCCACCTTGGGTCAGAAGCTCACCTGGAGAGGAAAATCTATCCATCCTTTCTGAGTTGTGTGTTTCTTTCTCAAAATAAAGCCAGTGTCCCCATGGGTCTGGTGGTCTTGGATGGGAAGCGGATCCTATGGAGTGTCTGAAAGCAGATGAAGGTGCCATAGAGGAAACCAAAACCAGTCCCTCTTGATTCTGGGGACGCCACCTTTGCCTTGGTCAGGAGCAACTGGTGATGTGCTTTCTACTCTACTTCTCAGATCAGCGGAATAAGCAAGGATCTCTCTTACAGGCAGGAGCCAGTGCATGAAAGTGGTTTAGTCCTTGTTATTTCGTGGAGGGAAATATAACACAAGGAAACAAACACTCTAAATATAGACAAGACCAGGTATCGAAAACTGGGGGTGGGGGGGTGGTGTGGTGTGTGCGCGCGCGTGTGTGTGTGTGTAAGTAAAGAGTGCTCGTCTTGTGGTGTAGATGTGAATCATTTCCCTTCCGGTTCTTTCAAACTTTAAAATTTATTTTGAACCAGGGTGAAGCTCTCAAATCTACTTTGGAAAGAGTCTGTTTTGGATTTTTTTTGTGTGTGTGCCACTGACACAAGCCAAGGGGGGAGGCAGATACTTCAGCAGCAGCAGCAGGAGAAAAAGTATTTAGTTTTTGTTCCCAAGATTTTGTTTTGTGAATCATCTTCCCTCAGTGAGATACACACAGATTTTTGTTCCCTTAATGAAGAGATCAAAGTGCCTTTGCTATTAGTTTCCCGGCTGTGCAGCAGTGGCACAACCCTCCGTCGCTGCCCTGCTCTCTTCCCAGTGCGGATTTACTTGTTGCTGCTTGGTGGATTTGGAGCAGGGGACTTGGGTCTTTAGATCTGATCGCCTTCCTTTGCCGTCTCCCTCTGAAGCAACCACCTGTGCACAGCAGCCCCCTCTTGCCGAGAGGGCTCGATGAGGCAAGCACCGGGCAGAGCCATCTGAGGTTGGGGAGAGAGAAATCTGAGCTCCCCCCTGGCTCTCCCCCACCTCTCTTCCCTCCCAGCTCCTTGCCAGAGGAAGGGTGTTTAGAGGGCATCTCCCGTCCACCTAAATCTATGATCAGCTCAGTGTGTGTTTCATCGTACCGTGGGCGTAAGTCTGGGAACAAACCACCCTCCAAAACATGCCTGAAGGAGGAGATGGGCAAGGGGGAAGAGTCGGACAAAATCACCATCAATGTAGGGGGGACCAGGCATGAGACTTACAAGAGCACCCTGCGCACCCTGCCCGGCACCCGTCTGGCATGGCTGGCTGACCCCGATGCCCAGAGCAACTTTGACTTTGATGGCAAGAGCAACGAGTTCTTCTTTGACCGCCACCCCGGCATCTTCTCCTACGTGCTCAACTACTACCGCACGGGCAAGCTGCACTGTCCTGCTGACATCTGCGGGCCCCTCTTTGAGGAGGAGCTGACCTACTGGGGCATCGACGAGACCGACGTAGAGCCCTGCTGCTGGATGACCTACCGCCAGCACCGGGATGCTGAGGAGGCGCTGGACATCTTTGAGAGCCCTGAGCCTGGGGGAGGAGCAGGGGGAGAGGAGCCTGAGGAGGAAGGGGGCAGGGACATGACCCTCCAGCGCCTGGGCATGGATGACAGGCCACCAGGGGCTGCTGGAGCTGCAGGAGGGGGAGGATGCTGTCGCAGTTGGCAGCCCAAGATGTGGGCGCTCTTCGAAGACCCCTACTCATCCCGAGCGGCAAGGGTGAGTTTGCGAATGACCCCCCTGGGTGGGGAAGGGGAGGGACTGGAGCAGCTGCAGGGTCATGCGCAGGCACTGGTCCCCCCCCTCCATTCATTGACTCTGCTATGGATCCACTGGTTCCTCCTTGGCTCCCCACCATGGGATGCATTGGATCTACCCCCTTGCACCTCCTCTCTGTGGGATGCACTGCTTCCCCATTCATCTCCCCTCTTGGGTTGCATCAGTTCCCCTCCTTCATTTCCCCCCTGTGCTTGGGAAGAATTTACTCTACCTGTTCATTTCCCCCATCAGGATGTTTTGAGTCCCTCGCACCCTCCACACACTTACCCCCTTGAGAAGAATAAGTTTTGTTTCGCTCTCTCCAGCCTGCTCCCTCATACTTCCTCTGCTCCACCCCACCTCCTGTACCCAGGGTGGGTTTCTGTGGGGCACAGGTATGCATTGGTGGCTTCAGTCTCAGAGCTTTCAAGACCTCTTGCCCTGCCAGCATCCCCTCTTTCTCTCCCCCCCAGCCAGCACACATCCCAGACAAGGCATTGTCAGGGACTGTCCTTGTCTGCCCAAAGTCCTGGCAGAGTTTCAAAAAGCTCCAGAGGCAGCTGGATTATTTAGTTCCTCTTGCTGCTCTTTGTGTATCTACACACCGAAGACAATGTTTAATGTCACAGTCTTATAGCAGGGAGTACAGGATTGGAGTGTGTGCTGCTCACGTACATGCACAAGCACATGCTGACAAAGACATGCACAACCACCACACACATCCCCACCTCTCTCTCTCTGTCTCTCTCACTTCCATGCACACGAATATACAGATATACACACATCATTCCCATACAAATACACACCCACTCCCATCTGCACATATTAAAAAACACAGTATATACCCATACACAAACATCCACAACATAAACTTCCTCATCTGTACATATTAACACACAATGTGCACATGTCTACATCTGTACCATTAACACACGCATGCAATGCACATGCCCATCCAAGCACTTGAATACACACTAGTATATCCCTTTTTTTATACACATATTAGCATCCCACCAACACACATTGCACATACCCATCCATACAGATTGATAAGCACCCAACATACACACCTCACCAGCAAGGTTCCCTTTAAGCTGTGCACGTCCATGGCCGCGCACAATTAAGCATCTGGTGAGTCACGAGAACACAGTAAACATGTACACAACCTATGCAATTCATCTGTGCACATTAACACAGAGACAACACATGCGCTCTTTTATCTGTGCACATTCATCCTTCCCAACATATGTGCACAGTCAGAAACATTCACACACAACACACACACCTGTTCATACATATCAATATTCACAACGCATGCCCAATGTATGCACATCAACGCATATACAACACCCCCCCATCCATGTACATTAAAATAGACATATCTGCAACATCTATCTGCATACATTAACACTATAACACCCAAAATCATTAGCACATATCCAGATAACTTACTTTTCAGTTCCTACATATTGGTTAACACATAACATACACCCCCCTTGCAAATGGATTAACACACATTGTCACAACGTACACTTCCCATCCATACATATCAACACCCCCCCTCTTGAGTCCATATTAAACACTCCCACCCATCCAAAGCCATCCCCAGTAGCACAGATGTAGACACAATATGTTCTGACCCAATCCTACTCATACACCTTTACACCTACACACCTTTGCATACTCATCTTTTTATACATAGTCTTATTCCATTTTTATCTACAAAACTCCACTCACTGATTCCCGTAAACAGGCGCATGCCACCACATGTATCCATCTCTGCCCATGCAGACTCATCCATTCCCCTTCATGCAGCCATTCACATCCAGCTCAAAAATATTGGAAGAACCACTGGGGATCTAAAAAAACGGCTTTTGAGGTTTTTGAGGTGTAAAAGGGAACGGTCATTAAAACAGCTTCCAACGCCAATCCTGCTCTTGACAGGAATCGCACCCAAGCCCAGAGAGCAGGAGGAGGAGGAGATTGCACCTAGAAAGTTTCCTTTCAACTAAAGAGAAGCCCAACTAAAGAGAAGCCCAACAGACACACAGGATAGATATTTAGGGAGTGAAAGCTTTTCCAAGGAAACAGATTCTGAAGATGTAAGCAAGCCACTTTCTCATCTCTGAGGGATCTCTGCTCTTGAGAAATCTTGGAGAGATTAGGACAGAAACAGAAAGCAATCCAATTGGGGTTTTTTTGGCACCGTGCTTGCTGTCTCTTGGAATTACTTCCCCCAGTTCAGGAACTCCAGGTCTGTCTCTAGAGGAGCAGACGCGGAGCTGCTGCAGCTTAGAGGCGAAAGAGCAGTTGGAATTGAGCAAGTGGTTTGCAAATGCTTCCTTCTCTCCTATAACATTAAGGCTTTAGTTAGCATCGGCACGGAAACGTTTAGCTGTATCGCACTACAGCTCTAATGATCTTTGCCTCTTAACACTTTCCAGGCTGAGGTTTCAAAGGGTTTTGCAAAAATTTAGGATAACACATGACACTTTTACAGCTGGGGAAACTGAGGTACAGGGGTGTGACACCATTTACTTTGGGTCACACAACATGGACATTTCTTATAGATTCCTAGGTCAGTGACCTGCTTTCTTGACCCCACGGTCTGTTGGGAGAAGGCTGATGTGGGGTGGCCCAGGCATGGGGCAATCGGTGGGATAGAGGCTATATCCTCACCCGGTATAAACCACTGCAGCTGCAGTTTCACGGGAACTTGGGGGCATTTGAACTCAGGGTTTTGATGCTGTCACATCTCTAGCTCGTACAGGTCCTTCTCCAATGAGGAAGCTGACCCTGGGGCAGTGTAAATCAGTGTTATGAAGTCAGTGATGCTGTGATGTCTTACACCTATTAAGAATCCAGCCCTGTGTTTATAGCCTGAGAAACTGCTGGCTAGAGGAGTGTTTATGCACTTGGTGAAAATACAAATGAACGTCCTTCTTGGGGAATATCCTTGTATTGCAACACTCTGGTGCTGGGGGAGAGCCCAGGGGGTGAATGAGTGACTAAAATTTGGGCACTAGCAAGTATAGCTTGAATAAGGGATCCTCCTAGGGCCCTCAGACGGCAGCTGCCGCATCCTGACACTCCGCATCTCAGAAATAGGTGGTTCTGACCAAAGTAAAATAAAACTAAATAGGTTGAGGTGGGATGGGGAGAATGGAGCTGATTAAAAGGGGCCTGTTGCTTAGCTACAGGCCTGTTGCCTACACTAGTTTTGCCAGTCGCACCATCCAAGCTGATTTTCTTGTCTTGAGAGCCGGCTGCTGCCTCCTGTCTCCCTGTCTGACTGTGGTACTCTTGCTTCGTTGTGTCAGTCTGTTGCTACAAAGCACAGAGCTATTGCCATAGGGTGCCGTCGTTTTGTCTGTCTCCGTTTTGCGTGGCACAGTTTCCCACTTGTTAGACCGTAGCTTGGGTTACTAGGACAGTCGCTGCATTGTCTTATGCTGCTGTATGGCTGGGAACATGTGTTGGCTGCCTTATTTCAGCCCCTCTCGCCCGTGTCTTGCATGTCAAGTTGATCAGATTTCATTCATAGATGTGACCAGTAATTTAGGATCAGCTGCAAAAAATGATCCTTCAGATTTGTGTTAAAACACACCAATAAGTGGGATTCATATGTGCCTTGCCACCAGCTGCCTCTGTTGATGTCAGTGTTCAAGTCAGCTCAGTTTAGTTCATTGGGAAGCACAGATCCTTTCTTTTCCATCGGCTGTTTCTTTCTGGATGTTTTCAGTGAGCCAAAATAAAACAGTGCTTGGTAATTTTCCAGGCCGGTTCCAAAGAAGCAGTCGGAGCCCATTGTTTTCCCATAGTTGTATAGGTGTACTGCCCAGGTCCAGGGCTGGAGAGAGGCACGTGATGATATTTGAAATAAAGTCACTGTTATGGAATCTGTAAGGCAAATATTAAGTGTTACGAGAAGACCGAGAAAGGCTTCTGATTCTCTCTTCGCTCCCTCCAGAAATCTCCTTGTTGGGTTACTTTGTTCTTTCCCTCACCTGGTGTCTGTTAGAAGTTACTTCACTTCCTATCCTGTAAAATCAGTGCAAATGAGAGGACATTCAAGCCCATTCACACTAGACAGACAAGGTTCTTTGGGTGAATCTGATATCTTTTATTAGACCAACTTAAATAGTTGGAAAACAATTATTAAGCAAGCTTTCGGGTTCAAAAACCCTTCATCAGGCTAAGGAAGTTTCACACTAGAGACCTTTTTGCATCTAGCTGTGGAAGGTAAAGTCCCTTCAGATCACAACGGTGTGATAAGGAGGAAAGAGGGGATCTTCTGAGCAAAGTCACAGCTGTTCTGCAGTGTCAGTGCTGGCATGTGAAGATCCAGACAGCTTTCTCCAGCCATTATCCTATGAACTTCTTTCTACTAGGACCTTTCAGAGAGAGACTTGTTTAGGAGCAACAAGCACTCTCCATAGGGATTGCCAGGGGACTGGCAAGAGTTTCTAAGGGTTTGATCCAGAGGGCACCACAACAAACAACAGACCCACGGTGGGTTTCCAAGCAGGTGCTACAAGCTTTCTTACCCTCCATTTCAATCACTATTCAAACCCAGCCTGGCCTGGCATGGACAGAAGCTGCCATCATGGATCAGCAATTGGATGGCCTAGCTGAGAGCAATTAGCTGTGCAGTGGTATCACAAAAAACACCCCAGGAGTTAAGCCTTTGCATGTGTCTACATAGCTGTGATCGTATAGTGTACCAATATCCCCTCACACTTTTATCTGGGATAGAGTCCTTACAGTGTCCTTGCCCATCTATAGACGTGCAGTGAGGTTGCTCTGATGTACCATCATTACCACGCACCAGCAGACTCCAGCGTCATGTGTATCAGTGTCCCCACGCTGAAAAACGGTAGTGGGGCTGCTTTAACTAAAGCTCATCGACAAGCTTTAGTTAAAGTGCCCCCTCCAACATTTTTCAGTGCAGGGACCCTGAT